CACTTGAAGGAGAAAGATTTCGCAATACGGCATTCTTAAAGCTGCAGTGTCCAAATTCTCCTTCAAACCCCGAGTGTCACGGGCACCCGCTCACTTACCGGGGTCCTCAGCAGAGGGAGGGTGGGCGAGGAGATGGAGGACGGGGAGCTCGGAGAAGCCAGGTGGGTGGGATGAGAGGCCCGGACTCCAGCAAGGGTGCAGAGGAGAGGCCGCCTGCACCGTGGCCGCCTCTGCAGTTAACCGGGTTGCCGGGACCGCAGCACGGCTGCAATGGAGAATTATTATTTTTTTCAACCCTGACCACCCCGCACTCAAGATTTCTGCCACAAAACTTAGGTTCTTCGTAGCTTAATTCAAACGCAAGGTGCAAATCGAAACGAGAAAGAGCCCCATTTGGAAAATAACAATGCGAGCGGCGTTTTAAAATTTAATTTAGAGAAATCGACTCCGGTGAACTGACTCAGCTCTCCCCGCACCGCGCGGCTGCAGAGCCAGGCGGGGAAGGACCCCGAGGAAGTTCATGGAGCCCAGAGTTTCTGCAAAGTGCAGGGAGAGGGCTACCGCGTCTTAGTGGAGAAAGCTGTTGAAAACCCCAAGGAGAAGGCACCCTTCTGCCTACCTAAGGAGCGGGGGGAAATGAGCGGAGCCAGCCTCAGGAACCCGCACACCCCTCCCTGAAAGTTACCTCTCTCCTCTGCTCCGCGGCTGCCTGGTTGCCATCCTGCCCGGATGCCGGCAAGTTGCAGACTGCTGGTGGGGAGGCAGCACCCGAAATCAGAAGTGTCAGNAGGAATTTTGAGGAGCTCGGCCCTTGCAGTTCCTGGGACCCCCTGGGCAGATGCCACCTTTAGCCCTGCATGACATTCCCCCCAATGCAGACCCTGATCCGAGAACTGTATGCCTGGGAATGCCCCGCGAGCAGTGCCAGCCCGGGAGTTCCTCCAGCCAGCACCTACCGAGGCAGCAGTTGGCTTTGGGGCTGTCCTTTGGCTGGGTGGGGAAGAGTCTGGCTCCAGAGACCATGAAGACCATGGCTTAGGCACCTAGGGCTGTGCATGTCCCCAGAAAGACCCCCTGCCCAAGGAGCGCTTTCTGCTGGCTTCTGCGCGATCCCCACTTAGCGAGCCCCTCGCGGGGCCCCCCACAACTGCCCGGCCCCCCGTGCAGCATCACTCAGCCCCCGACACGGAAGGGAGTCCACCCCTTCTTCAGTGCTGCAGCCTGCGCCCCTGCGGTCGCAAATCATTGTTTCGAGTTTCCCTCCAAAGCTCAGTAAACCCAAAAGAATGAAAGCTCCACCCCCAATTAATAAGGCACCGAAGGCTGCGTCTGTGTCCCTAGGGTTCAAGCCAGGCTGCAAAGATCACAGCAGACATCGGACCGAATTCTACAGCCTGTCTCCACACGGCTTAGAGAACCAGTCAACCGGACGGAACACATGCACCGGCGCCGAGGCACGGACTCAGCTTAAACTCATCGGTGAGTCTGTGGGNAACTTAGGTTCTTCGTAGCTTAATTCAAACGCAAGGTGCAAATCGAAACGAGAAAGAGCCCCATTTGGAAAATAACAATGCGAGCGGCGTTTTAAAATTTAATTTAGAGAAATCGACTCCGGTGAACTGACTCAGCTCTCCCCGCACCGCGCGGCTGCAGAGCCAGGCGGGGAAGGACCCCGAGGAAGTTCATGGAGCCCAGAGTTTCTGCAAAGTGCAGGGAGAGGGCTACCGCGTCTTAGTGGAGAAAGCTGTTGAAAACCCCAAGGAGAAGGCACCCTTCTGCCTACCTAAGGAGCGGGGGGAAATGAGCGGAGCCAGCCTCAGGAACCCGCACACCCCTCCCTGAAAGTTACCTCTCTCCTCTGCTCCGCGGCTGCCTGGTTGCCATCCTGCCCGGATGCCGGCAAGTTGCAGACTGCTGGTGGGGAGGCAGCACCCGAAATCAGAAGTGTCAGCTGGGTCCCTGCACCCGAAATGATGCCGGAGTCAAGGCTGCAGTCGGTGGGGATGGTCTCGCCCCCTCCCCCGGTTTCATTTAAACCCCTGACACTGCAAGATGCCCGCTCCTACTGAGACACATCTCCAAAGAGCCTCCTCCCTCCCCACACTTCCTCACAACCAGGTCCAAGGCTATGCTCCACCTCCCACATTGGTTCACCTAAGATGCTTTTCTGGCAAAAAAAAAAAAAAAAAAAAAGAGAGAGAGAGAGAGAGACAGTCGGAGGCTGCAGAATTCTTAATTCCTTCCTTGCCGAGACCACATTTCAGAGCAGGTGGGACTTGTTCAGAAGTTTGAGAATTGCAGCCTGACGCCCAGGAAGGAACAGAGGCAACGGGTGAGGACGGTCTGACCATCACTTTACTAAAAAAAATGACAAGAGGTAGACCCAGGGCGAAGAGAAGAGGAAAATTCCTCTCTGCCTGCTGGCAGATTTTCGACAGTTCGGGAAATCTGCCTTTTTGCTTTCCTTCAAGAATAGGCCACTGAAAAAAAAAATTTAAAAATCTGCATGCACGAGAAACGTACAAGATGGCCACGAAGTGTAAATTTTGTCCTGACGTGTCCGTGATTCTTAAAGTTTTCGCGCCCGCCCCTGTGCGAGTTAGTATCGTTTTTAGGCTGGGATTTCACCAGGAAAATTCCAGGGGAGAGAAGCACTTTAAATGCAGACGTGGTTAAGATAGTGCGTCCTAATATAATGCACGAGACACGATGCGGAAGAGATAAACCAGGAGGCAGAAGGGGGTGAGGGGAAGGGAAAGAATCCCCAGATTCAGAATTTAATACGAACTCGGAGAAAGTGGGGTGTAGGGGGAGACAACTCAGGCTCCTAAACAAATTGTCCAGAAGGACCAATTGCATCAATTGCATGTACATTTCATTACGGAAGTAAGACCTGATATGTGACTTGTTTCTAAACAGGACTAGGAGGGACTGACACGGCCTCGCTGCTGCAGTGCACCACGGCCAGGCCACTGTGGCCACCGCAGCGTGCCAGCCGCCTCGCCCACCTTCCTCCCTCTTGGGCTTTGGCAGCCAGGTAAGGCTGTGCAGCACCGGCTCTGCTGGCGGATGGAGCCCAGGACCAACCTCAGGAGGCTGTAGCACCCTCCTCATGGTAGCAGGCGGTGGCCATGGACCCGTGGAGTGTCACAGCGAAAGGGACCTCAGAGAGCACGCAGCCCGATTCCTCCATTTCACAGACAGAAAAACCAAGGCCCAAGGAATGGCAGGGCCTCACCCAAGGCCACCTGGCCAGTAAGATGCACAACTTAGATTAGAATTTAGGTCCTTAGATTCTTCATCCTGTGATCTCTCTGTACCTGTCATCACCCCCCCCCGTGAGATGAGCCGTCTGCCTCTGCGGCTTTCTCGAGTGACCTTGAGGATGACCTTTCTGCTCTGAGACTCAGTATCCCCTCCATAGACGATACGCAGACTTAGACCAAGGAATTTCAACTCTTTGAAAGCAGGAAAAATACCAAATAGTTTTCTTGCTGGCAAAGGCAAGACCACACACGGGCTCGGGAGCCAAAGCAGGCTCTTCAGTCCCCTCCAGTTTGGAGACTCAGGTTGTTCATCTGCATTAGTTTCCTGTGGCTGCTGTAACAAATTGCCACAAACTTGGTGGCTTAAAACAACAGACACTTGCCCTGGCCGGAGCGGCTCAGTTGGTTGGAGTGTCATCCCGTCGAGCGAGAGGTCACAGGTTCGATCCCCAGTCGGGGCGTGTACAAGAGGCAGTTGATCAATGTTTCTATCTCACATTGATGTTTCTCTCTCTCTTTCTCCCTTTGTCTCTCTATAAAAAAATCAATAAACATATCCTCAGGTAAGGATTAAAAAAAAACACACAAAAAACACGCTCAGCATTTTCCAAAGTGCTTTAGTTGTGTTGGCTTATTGAATTCTTACAACCACCTCTGAGGCGGGGACTGCGTTATCACCGCTGTTTTACGGTCAAGGAAACTAAGGCGCACAGGGGTTTAGGTGGCACGGCTACTAAGTGGCTGGATCTAAGCCTCTGGCTCGGCAATTTGTGCTCTCAACCCTACTGCTTCATCGAGCCGGGGCGGGGATCCCTCTCTCAACGTGACACCATTGGTTTGCTCTCCAGCCCACATCTCTGTGTGTTTCTTTTACAGATATTTATTGGGCACTTCCCGGGTGTGCTCTGTTGATCTAACTTCAAGTGTTGCCCTTTAAGCACACGGGAGGGACTCAGTAAAGCTGGTTGCGCAGATAAGCGCACAAGGTCATCCAAAGCATGGAGGGGAGATGTCACTGCACGTCTACCTTTGTCACCAGTGATTCACAAGACACCTGCTGGGTCAATACTTAGCATGAAACAGGCATTCATGTTGAAATCGGTGAGAATGGAGAAACCTAGGAACCACCGTGGTCTTTTGGGAACTGCCCACGTCATGGGTCCTTGAGTCTTACCCCCTCTTCCCGCGCAGATTCAGCAAACCTGGTGATTCCCTTTCTTCGAGAGCAAGTTCTAGCACGTGTGAGATTTCTTTTCAGCCCCGATTCCTCGTAGCTTTGGCCTGCGAGAGGCGCTGCTGACGTAGACCTTGAAAAGCAACGCGTGCGGCCTGGCTCCCTTTCGGGTCCCCCGCGAGGGCGGCGAGCAGGCTGCACACGCGGGCCGAGGGCTTTTTTCATCGGCGGCCTCGTGTGCGGTCCATGTGTAATAACCGCACCGTCTCTTCTATGTTTACAGCAGCTGTAGGAGACTAGGTTAGGCCTCGGGGAAGTGTTCTGTCTGGCTGTTCTACAGTGTTACTCTAGAGCCGATGTCAGGGTCTTTCCTTTTCAGGACGAAAGAAGCCCTGAGGGGAGGGCCAGGCGCCCTGCTGCCACAGAGAAGCTCTAGGTGGCCGTCTGACTTGGGAGATCTCCTGGCTCTTCGATCATAAAAAGGCCCCTGACTTTTAGGTGGCAGGAGCTCTGGGCTGCGACTGGAGGACATGGAGTGCGTCACAGCAGCTCCTCTTTCAGGAGGAGCCGAGCCTTCTGTGATGACCTTCGTGTGGGCAAAACCGCCACCGCCGGGGAGGGGTCCAAGAGGCTGGATTTCGTCTCCACCAGAAGAGAAAGGCTCTTCCCGTCTTAAATCTCCTACATGGTTTGTGTTGATGACTGCTCCGTGCCCAGCGCATCCTGCTCTGAGCAATGCCATGCGAGGGCACAGGGATGACAAAGCCAAATGCGCTTTATAATTAGTAAGGACCCTGCCACCCGAAACAGCCGCACTGCTGCTTCTCCCGCTGTTTCACCGTCGGCTGCGGGATGGCGCTCTCCTACCCTCCCGTCTGCCTCTGGGTGTATTTAAACAGAGCCATAAACGCTCAACCATCAGCTCTGCCAGCTTACATGGGCGCTCTGCGGGCTTCCTCCCTTGCTCATTTAAAAAGTGTTTCGCGAGCACCTACTACACGCAGAACAGTGGAGCGATCCAAGTCCTGTCCACACTGGACTCAAGGTGGGCTTGCCCGCCCTCGATTGTTAATGTGTCTCTGTAAGATGCTGGAGGTTCTCGGGCTTAAGTTGAGACTCAGGGGTGCCTGTGTTTACAAAAGAATGAAGACATTGCCTGCCAAGGGGTGACGGAGGCAGCTTCAGGCCCTGGCTGCCAGGTGAAAACTATTTCCAGTGACCGCAGTGGCTATGGAACCCACCTCTCCTAGTCTGTACCCAAAGGTCGCCTCATCAGAGTCCTTCCCTTCTTCAAAACAGCACATGAGCACCACCTCCTCGCTCTACCCCTTACCCGCTGTATTTCTCTTCTGCACAGGCGTGTGAGCACCTGCCCAGGCGTGTGAGCACCTGCCCAGCACCTGAGCAGGTATGTCAGCCCCTGCCCAGGTATGTCAGCCCCTGCGAGCATACAATTCTTTGTTGATTTGTCATTATTTGGCTCCCTGCAGTGAAGCGCAACTTCTCCAAAGCAGAGAAGTTGGCCCTTTCGTTCACTGCTGTGTCCCCAGCTCCAGAGCAGTGCTCAGCACACAGTAGGGCTCCAGAGGTGTTTGTAAAAGAATGCATCAATGAATGAACACATTCCCTTTCTTTCCCACCTGGGCCCGATGAAATCCTCCCTCCATTCCAGGTGAACCTCTGCTCCTAGGGACTTCTCATTTCCCCCGTAAGTGACAACTGGCTCCCCACAAGCCCACACTGCAGCCCCGCGGACCACGGTCCTGGACGCCACGCTGGCCAGGCCTGGACGCAAGGGTGGCCGAGCAGATTGTCCTTCTGCAGCTGTGCACCCTCGGAGCTGGCCCTGGGCTGGGAATGACATGCGACGGCTGTGGGGTCCTGCCCTCGCCGTCCGTCCCCCAAGCCTCCCCTGGCCACCCTATCCTCTCCCTGCTCAGCCCCTCAGTTCCCTGGCCTCCTGGGGGTCTCTGAAATGCCCCCCCAGTTCCCTCCCCCTGGAGGCTCCCCCAGCTGCGTGCTCACCTGCAGGTGTCAGCCTGGTCCCTCCTCTGGCAGCCTCTTGACAGCTCCCTGTCCCCTTGCCCCTCCCCTGTCCCCATCAGTCCCGGAGCCCGGCCTCTGCACTGCCTCCGTCCCCTGCTTCACCCATCCGGTCACGTAGCTTCTGTCTCCTCGGGAGGACGGCGTCCATCACCCGGCCCCCTGTGCCGGAAGAGCACCTCGCGTCTGCGGTGAAGGGCGAGCGACCGCCTCCCGCCGCCTCCCGCAGCCTCCCGCTCTGACACCTGCATTCATCTGCCCCGGCGGCCGTGACCGAGCACCGCGGACGGGCTGGCGCGAGCGACAGAAGTTTGCTCTCTCGGTGCTGGACGCTGGGAGCCTGAGGCCGGGTGTCAGCCGGGCTGGTTTCTCCTGAGGCCTCTCCGGTCGTGTCTTCTCGCAGTGTCCTCACATGGTCTCTGTGTGTCCTGTCTCCTCTTCTTCTAAGGACACCAGTCATCATTGGATCGGGGCCCACCCTGATGACCTCATTTCAACTCAGTCACATCTTCAAAGGGCCCCACCTCCAAAGACGCTCACATGCTGAGGCGCTGGGGTTGGGGCTTCAGCGTATGAATTTGGGGGACACCAAAACCTCCCCACCCACCATCGGCTGAGCTCTCACTCTCCTCTGACTTCAGCCCCTCCTCCCAGGGACCTCAGCGCCCATGTCGCTCCTGTTTTACTCATGGAAGCTTCCTCCTTAGATCCTTGTTTCTCCACTTTGCTGATCCAATTGCTGAGCCCTCCGCGCGGCAACTGCCCTGTGGGCTGAGTGCCTAGTGAGGGCCAGGCATTGCCCTGGCGCTTCCCACACTCCAGCTCCTATCACCCAGGGGACAGCTCCAACTGCCCCCATATTATTATAGGCAGGATCCAAGCTCAGACAGGTCCAAGGAGTTGCCCAAGGTCATAGAGGTGAAAGTGGGGGGACCTGGAGTGGAATCCAGACTTTCAGCTCCCCGGCATAGCTCTGACACCGTGCTTGCCCACAGATTCTGAGGGCACATCACCAACAGGGCGGCCGGGCCAGGACAGATAGACCAGCATGCGTACAGAGCAACAGACAGGGCAATTGCTAGACTGACAACCAAAGTAGAGACAGAAACATTCTGAGTTGCAGGGTGAGAAAAGCATGGCAGTCCGAATCCAGTTCATATAAGGGCTGAGAGCCTGCCCCACCCCAACAGGCCCCACAGCCCCACTGTGCACCTCATTACAGCTAACAGCAGGGAAAGAGTGTTTGGCTAGGGCCGGCAGAGTTAGTAAATAAAAACACAGGAGTCCCAGTTAAATTTGAATTTCAGATAAACAACAAATTATTTTTTAACATCAGTGTGTCCCAAGCAATATTTTGTACATGCTTTTACTAAAAATTTGTTGCTTATCTGAAATTCAAATTTACGGGGTGTCTTATATTTTATCTAGCAACTCGATGTTCATTACATACTTGGTTTAAAAAGGCAAGAGAGTGTGCAATGCATTCCAGAGATTTCCTTCCAAAATGGGAAAAAAAACTGGTGCTTAAGTGATCCTTTATAACAGATGTAACAGGTAAGAACTGGATAAATGACATAAGCTATAAAGAGACTTAAACAAAAAACAAGTTTATTTCTCTTTCACGTAAAAAAAGAAAATTCCAGAGGTTAAAAGTCCTGGGGTGTCATGATGGTGCCACAGTATCACCAGGAACTGGGGCTCCTTCTACCTTTCTCTTCTGTCATTCTTAGCATATGACTTCCAGTCTCATAGTAACCTCATGAGCCAAGAGAGTTGCTGGAGCCCCAGCTGTCACATCAGCATTCCAGGCAAGAAGCAAGGAGCAGACAGGGAAAGAATATGTCTACCCCCCCTTTCAAAAATTTTATCTGACAACTTTTCCTTTCATCTCACTGACCAGAACCTAGTCATGTGGCCATATTTAGCTGCAAGAGAAGCTCAGAAATGTCGTGTTAGAACTGTACGTTGCCACATTGAATAAAATCAAGGGTCCGTTACCAGAAGAGGAGAATGGATATTGGGTAAGCAGGTAGACTCAACAGAACATTATGTCTTCTTTCGCTTGCATATTAGGACACCCGGCCTTTTCTACAGGAGGGTGTTAAGGGCCCCACTTCTTAAAAATATAGGCAATTTTAATATGCCTGCTCTTTTGTTTTAGAGACTTCACTTGTTACGGTTCTAAGCCACCAAGGGCACAATTTAATATAATAAAAGAGTAATAAAATAAAGCGACGTATTGATTTTTTTATACCAAGATCTAATTAAAAAGAATGTTTTTAAGGAGAAGAGTAAACTCCTTGAAGAATAAATTCCTGGTCTCTGTGGCTCTCCGCAGAAATTGTAATTCAATTCTGGCTTTGTCTAGATCCTACTGTGTGCCAAGCAACGGTGTGGGACCAGGGGGCACCATGATGGGTGAGGGGTCCCGCCAATGGGGTGCATGCTCACGGAGGTGAAATGGCCTGAGCAGGTGCCTGGGTTCCCTCCGAATTAGGTGAGGCAAGGAAGGAGCTGGCAGTGCCTAGGAAGGAGGGCGCTGGGGAAATCTTTCATATTCCTGACAAAACGCATGCAGCGCAGAATTCCAGGTCCCTGGCGCTCGCTCCGTGCGCGCCGTAAAGACCTTCACTGGCTGTCAGCGCTCTTACCGGTGACTCGTGTTTGGGGGCACTTCTCTGAGCCTCCTGAAGCCACTCAGTGATTCACATGGGTCTCTGAGTTCTGCTAGGAATATTTC